ACCCTTAGAAGGCAGTGATCATAATATGATTGAATTTACTGTGCAATTTGAGAGGGAGAAAATAGAATCAGAGGTAATGGTATTACAGCTGAATAAAGGCACCTACAGAGACATGAGGGAGGAGCTGGGCAGAATTCACTGGGAGAGGAGCCGAGCAGAAAAGACAGTGGAACAGCAATGGCAGGAGTTTCTGGGAGTAATTCAGGAGACGCAGCAAAAATTCATCCCTAGGAAAAAGAAGCAGGGTACAGGGAGGATCAGGCAACCATGGCTGACAAGGGAAATCAGGGATTGCATAAAAGCAAAAGAGAAAGCATATAATGTGGTGAAGGGCAGTGGGAAACCAGAGGATTGGGAAACTTACAAAGACCAACAGAGGGCAACAAAAAAAGAAATAAGGAGGGAGGAGATTAAATAGGAGGTTAAGCTAGCCAATAATATAAAGGAGCACTGTAAGAGCTTCTTTGGATCTACAAAGGCAAAAGTGGACATTGGACTGCTGGAAAATGATGCTGGAGTGATAGTAATGGGGATAAAAAAAATGGCTGAGGAACTGAATAATGACTTTGCATCAGTCTTCACAGTGGAAGGTATGAGTAATATGCCAAAAATTCGAGAGAGTCGGGGGACAGATCTGAGTATGGTGGCCATCATCAAGGAGAAGGTTCTGGAAAAACTGAATGGCCTGAAGGTGGATAAATCACCAGGACCAGATGGACTACACCCCAGAGTTCTAAAGGAGATAGCTGGTGGTGATAGTGGAGGCATTAATGGTGATTTTTTAGGAATCACTGGAGTCAGGGAGGGTCCTAAATGATGGGAAAATCGCTAACATGACACCCCTGTTTAAAAAGGGAATAAGGCAAAAGACTGAAAATTAAAGGCCGATTAGCCTAACCTCGGTTGTGGGGAAGATTTTAGAGTCCATTGTGAAGGATGAGATTTCTGAATATTTGGAAGTGCATGGTAAAATAAGGCAAAGTCAGCATGGCTTCATCAAGGGAAGGTCATGCCTGACAAATCTGTTAGAATTCTTTGAGGAAGTAATGAACAGATTAGACCAAAGAGACAAATGGATGTTATCTACCTGGACTTCCAGAAGGCCTTTGACAAGGTTCGCACAGGAGGTTGCTGAGTAAGATAAGGGCCCATGGTGTTAGAGGCAAGGTACTAGCATGGTTAGAAGATTGGCTCTCTGGCAGAAAGCAGAGAGTGGGGATAAAAGGATCCTTCTCAGGATGGCAGCCAGTGACTAGTGGGTATTCCACAAGGGTTAGTGCTGAGACCACAACTTTTCACTTTATATATTAATGATCTAGATGAAGGAACTGAGGGCATTCTGGCTAAGTTTGCAGACGATACCAAGATAGGTAGAGGGACAGGTAGTATTGTGGAGGCAGGGAGGTTGCAGAAGGATTTGGACAGGTTAGGAGGGTAGGCACAGAAGTGGTAGATGGGAGTACAACATGGGAAAATGTGAGGTCATGCACTTTGGTCAGAAGAAAAGAGGCATGGACTATTTTCTATATGGGAAGAAAATTCAGAAGTCTGAAGTGCAAAGAGACTGAGAGTTCTAGTCCAGAATTCTTTCAAGGTAAACTTGCAGGTTGAGTCAGTAGTTAGGAAGGCAAATGCAACTTTGTCATTTATTTTGAGAGGACTTCAATATAAAAGCAGGGATGTACTTCTGAGGCTCTATAACGCTCTGGTCAGGCCACATTTGGAGTATTGTCTGCAGTTTTGTGCCCCATATCTCAGGAAAGATGTACTGACCTGGAACGGGTTCAGAGGAGGTTCACGAGAATGGTCCCAGGAATGAAAAGCTTAACATATGAGGAACGTTTCAGGAATCTGAGTCTATACTCAATGGAGTTTAGAAGGATGAGGGGGGATCTAATTGAATCTTACGGAATACTGAATGGCCTGGACAGAGTGGATGTTGGGAAGATGCTTCCATTGGTAGGAGAGACTCGGACCGGAGGCACAGCCTTAGAGTAATGGAAAGACATTTTATAACGGAGATAAGGAGAAACTTCTTTAGCCAGAGATTGGTGAATCGATGGAATTCACTGCCACACAAGGCTGTGGAGGCCAGGTCATTGAATATATTTAAGATGGAGATAGATCGGTTCTTGATTGTCAAGGGAATCAAAGGTTACGGGGAAAAAGTGGGAGAATGGGGTCGAGAAACTGGGATGAATGGCCTAATTTCTGCTCCTATGTCTTATGGTCTTATCATGGCTGATCTTTTCGTGGACTCAGCTCCACTTACCTGCCTGCTTGCCGTAATCCTTAATTCCTTCACTGTTCAAAAATCTATCTATCTTTGTCTTAAAAACATTCAATGAGGTAGTCTCAACTGCTTCATTGGGCAGGTAATTCCACAGATTCACAACCCTTTGGGTGGAGAAGTTCCTCCTCAACTCAGTCCTAAACCTGCTCCCCCTTATCTTGAGGCTATGACCCCTAGTTCTAGTTGGAAGCTACTGACTTCGGAGTTGGAGCGTTTTCCAAAGGCCTTGTAGTTGACGTACAGCAGCAAAATATCTTGGCACAGATAGCAGCAATCTGGTCTGGTCTGGCTGGCTGACAGACAACTAGTGCATTGGAGGGCGTGTAGGGTTGGGATCATATCCAAGCAGAGACAGGGAAGTAGATTCATGCTCCCAGAATTGACTGCTGCTCCCTCTGGTTAGCACTTCTGTAATCTTAGTATGTTTCTAAAGAACAGATTTATTGACTCTGGGATTCACATCCATGCCAGTAGCAGTCTGAAATTCAACTACGGTACTCAGACATCACCTGGCACCTGCTGCTACTGTTTTGGAAGCTGAGACGTCAGATGCAGTAGGATGGTTAGGGTCAGAAGTGTGCTGCAAACATTGGACTTCAAGCTCCACACAAAGCCCAGTGCTCACTCTCTGCCAGACAACTCCGTGCTCTTTGATACTGAACACAGACCTTGTGGCAAGCTAACCACGTACAGTTTGCGCAGAATTGTGAAATCAAGTGATGGTGTCTCTTCCTTATCACTGTGGTGTTGGCCCTTATTCATTGAGGTGTGAAATGTAGGCTTCAAACTTACAATTAAGTCTGTGAGGAAGAAGTGAAACACATAAATGTTATGCATGAGTTGGTAGGATATGGCACAGGTACATTTACTGATCTTATCACTCCTGTAAATGGAAAGCTTTTACAATATCACATCCAGGTCCTTGAGACAAATCCTGTGGCATTGATCTCAGTAAATATTTGCGCTCACAGTCTTCTCTTCACATGTCTGGATATTCCATTGCACTCCCTGTGGATACAAGACATATCTCTTCCTTTGCTCCTCTTCCATCAAGGACTCCAATGCAGTTGGAGTACCATTGTGCATGTTTTCCTTCATTGCCAATCATTTGTTCCACAACATCGCTCCCAAATATCTCCATATTTCCAAGGGCCTCAGTGAAGCTTTCCTTTAAGTGGGGTAAGCAAGCTTTAAGTGGAACTAGGAAGTAATAATATTGGGCCGTCTGCTGAAGTATGAGGGTAATGAACAGCACAATGCAGGCTTCACACAGAAACCATTATAATCAGCAGGCAGCCAAAACAATGTCGCCTGTATTATGCCGAATGGGGGTGGGACAATTGAATATCACAATCCCTAGGCTAGGAAACAGCTGTTTCAGGGGCTGTCCAATTTAAACACTTTCTCTTTTGTCAACTCAAATTATGTTGGGGAAATTGCTATGACTTTGAACTGTATTAAATGGAAGTTTAGTTGTTTGGAAGATGATAGCAAAGTCATATCCTGTTTGTAGGCTGCAGGCCAAGTGCTTTGTTTGGCAAGACAACTAGCTATCTGTTTATATGTTGTCAAGCATTAATTGGATATGTAAAATCCGACTGAAGTTTGATTGGTATTTAATTCATCTATGGCATTTCAACAGCTATGGCAGTATTTTGATATCAGTGAAATTCACTTCGATATTGTTGCTTCATAACAAAAGTAATATTTTCTTTTATACCAATTTGGATTATGGACAAAGAGAATAACAGCCAAGCCTGTTTCTATTTAACTATCTCATTATGTGAGTGAAAGCCCCATGATAGATGCCATGATGTTTGTTTCACATATGATCATTTCTAAGACAAACCAATAACCAAAGGGAACTGATTAAGAATCAGGACTATTATTTCTTTGAAACAGGTAATATGAAATTAAATACAATGCTTGTTGTGTCTATATTTCTCAGGGTAATTAGGGATGGGCAATAACTGCTGACCTTGCCAGTGACATCCACATTCCAAGAACAAATTAAAAATAATTGCCAAGTCTTTCTTGGTTCAGTAACTTGATCAAAACAGATGAATAGGTTTCTGCCTGATGTGACAGTGTGGTGCTTCACCACATTTGTTACAAAGATAAACTTTTATAATGCATTTCATGTCCTCAGGCCATCCCAGTGTGCTTTGCAATTAAAGGAGTTTGAAACACTTGATGTGCCAATTAAGCTTCCTTGCAGCTACAGATCATTTGCAACATCCCAACATATGTCAGTGATAGGCCAATCTTTTGACAGAAATAGAAACGAGAAGACCTGTTGATTCAAGGTGTGATAGGTCTCATGTGAGGCCCACTGATTTCTTTGAGATATTTCTCCAAATGGACATCAATTTATTGTAGCTGGAGGAGGATGAGGAGGGAGATCTCAAATACGTGTCTCCTTCATGGATCTCGGCTCCATCTCTCTCTGCTGCTGAGAATTATTCAGTTATTTCTGTTATATCTGTGCACCACTGTGAGATTATGCCCCCAACCCTCACCCAACTGTTCCCTGCACCTTCTTCAGTCTCACTTCAATTTGGGATTCCTTTCTCTGGATTGTTACCACATCCATAGATGTGTTTCATATGTGTTCATTGATAGACTTGATAATGCAAGCTGACCCAACAGGAAGCCACAATCTTTTATCTGAACCAGCAATGAATTTGATTTTGTTTTATTTCTTTAGGTGCAGAAGCTGCTTCAATCAAATTTTCCATTACCTCCACCGGTGGTAACTATTTCTCAGTATGCATGTCAGAGGAGATCAACCCTCAACAATAGAAACAAAATATTCACGGTAATGGTTCAAGTGGAATTTTGTGAAGAAATCTTATTTTTGACTTTGGCATGTATTACAAGTCGGTGGAAGAATTTAGAGACTTTGGTATTTTGTTAAAGCACTGGTGTTCAGTATGATCCAAGACAACTATTTGCCCTAAAGATTCAATGGTTTCCCCTAAAGGGAGCTTCTGACTGTCATGGCACATCCTATGTGCACTTCATACATGGACAATTCACTCTTCTCAAAGTTCATCCAAACCCATAGCCCCTTTGCTTGCTCAACCTGTGGGAGATATTGGCCTCTGTAGCCAATTGCTTCTTGGGTGTCATAAGGCTTCATAAATTACTAAAATAGGGTCCACAGTGAGTGTGTGCACTTCAGTGGCAAGTATAGCATATGCCATGCTTGTAAAGGGATTTGCACACGCATACCCAATGCTTGTTGGCAGCACGCAGGACAGTCAGATAATGTCCCCATTAGGGAACCCTCGGATCTAGCTTGTGCTCCCTGAGTATAATTTTAAATAGCATGAAGTCCTCTTCACCAGCACTATTTAAAGTGATCAAAACTTACTTGCACTGAAAACAACAACTGCTGGAGATCACAGTGGGTCAGGCAATATCCACAGAGAGACAGCAAGCTAACGTTTCAAGTCTAGAGATGAACAGTCATTGACAGTTGAAGCGTTAGTAGGCTTGAAATGTTAGCTTGGTCTCTCTCCATGGCTGCTGCCTGATCTGCTATGATCTCCAGTATTTAGTACAGATTCCAGCATCTGCAGTAATTTGCTCCTACATAACCTACTTGCAATTCAGATACTACCTTTTTTTTGGTACATGCTGCATTTCCACATATTTTGGATGCTTTTCCAAAATTGTTAATATTTTCAATAGTCTACAATGAATGATCTGCCTGGTGCTGAGGTACTAAAGAAGGGGAAAGGATTGGGATGTGATAAGAGGAGAAGAGAAAGTCAGTAGTGGATGCTTGCATCATCTGCAGCTGAGATACCAGAATAGATTGAGGATGAGGAAGAATTCAGATGTGAGAAAGAGGATAAAATATGCAGATATTCTCCTGTTCAGTTGTTTTATCCCTGCTGGTGGTCACAGCATTCTCATAATAGCCGAGACTTTCTCCCTCATGGCACTTGAAACATGCAGTAGTGCCTCTTCATATTTTGTTAATTCCTGTTTTGTCTGCCAACATCTCCTGCAAGAAAGTAGAAAATGTGCTAATGAGCTGGTGGTGTCTGCAAGTGATGGAGATTTGGGGCTTTCAGCAATGTTAACTTTGCGTGGAAGGGATGAAGCAAATGAATGGTACAAATGAGTCCTGATTGACAGATATCATTGGACTGCTGACAGTATATTGATCTGAGCAGTTAATGAGGCTTAGTGGTGAAGGTGGTAGGGTGTGGCATGGGAACATACACTCACTGACAAAGAGAGGCATTAAACTTCTTCCTGAACTGTAATCAGGCACTTTGAGCTGCTGTTAGCATTGACTTCCTTCTCTATATCATGCTAAAGCCTTTTTATTTCTATCCTTTGAGGATACAGGACATCTCTTCCACCAAGTTCTCCAATCTGATAACCTTTATGCTTTTAAAAAGGCGGAGCACTGCTGGTAGTCACAACGCATCACTTCTGTAAGAGGTGGAGTGTCCAGGGTTTGACTTGTTTCAAAAACAGTGGTCTACACTTAACGCAATCCACTTTCTCAATGCAAGAATAACATACCTCCTCCACAAATAGAATTTCAAAGATAGCTCAACTTGCAGTGTGGTCACCCTGATAGACTGCTCACCAAACCGGGACTAAATGTACCTACCAACATTTGCTGCAGGATTCAAAGCAGTCCACTAGACAATACACAGTGCTATCACCTGGCTATCAAACCAACCAGACTGAGCCTTGCAAACTGCAAGATATCATAAGTTTTGAAAAAAGGGTAAACACTGCATATGTATACAACTAAGGAACAATAATAAATATAGTAAGAATAAAAAATGCTAGAAAAATCTCAGCACGTTAGGTGTTATCTATGGAGAGAAATATTTCAGGTCAATGACCTCTTCTTAGAACTGAAGAGAAACAGAAATGGAAAGGTTTTTAAGCCAATGGAATGGCCAAAGGGGCAGGAAGAACTCTACTGAATTCTGTTATATGCCAGTTATTCTGCAAAGGTCAGGAAAGACTGTCAGTCGGTATATTGCAATGTGTTTGTGATATGCCTATTGTAGCTGAATAGTTGTAAACAAACTGAAGCTGCAAAATGTGACAGTGAGATTGGAAACTGTGTTTTGTATCTGACGCTGAGATGCAGTGTCTGAATGCTAGACTTTGACCGCTGAAGGGTAAGTGGCAGTTTGGTGAATTGAGCTGTGTGCGAGTTTGCTGATACAGTATGTAGCAGGTAACCTTTGAACATGCATTACAACACATCAGCCATATCCTTGGGGCCAGACTCCTTGGAACTGACTTCCTTGGCCAGCTGCTCACATTCTCTTCAGTGTGTGCACACGAGGAGACTCCCAGTCCCCTGCAGGAAGATGATCTCTAGCCTTACTTACACTTCTTGGACTAATGCCTCCAGCCTTGCATTCGAGAACCAGAGAGCCCACCCTTTGGCCTTTTGCTCCACAGGCAATCCTTTTCCATCTCAGAAACACTTTTGGAGGTGATTCTGTCCTTTGCAGAGATAGAGCTGCCTTTAAGAATTGTAGGCTAGCACGTTAGGCATGCATACATCTGAGTACGTAGCCAGTCAATACGCACCATTTCATTGAGTAGACAGAACAACATTTGCATTCACTTGGCCTGGGCATGGAGTAATGAAGCATGGCAATCTCTGTGCCCGCTAATGGACCTCATTGGGATTTTTATCCCTGTAGATTTTGTTTTATGTTGAATGCGATACCTTTTATAATCCATTTTATGAAATGTTTCCACAAAGGTGAAGTTGAATAAACTAGACACAAAGTGAGAAAGCTAACTGCAATTAATGTGATGAATATACTACTTTTTTTGTCAAATGCAGAGTGTGAGACGTTTTTGCACTCCCAGTGTGCGACATGCTTCAGCATAGTAGAAAAACTCATCAACACTTATTTATTTCCTCTTTTCTTTCATGTATTCTGCCTGCTGGGTTACGTTTCAGAATACATTTAGTACCACTTACATATGCCAAGAAAAGGTGCCATAAGATCCTGCAGTTATAAAATATGGCAAGTAATTACCGGATCAAATATCAGCTGTCATTGTTTGCACATCTAGTGAACACTGCAGTTGGCATGTATATGCAATTCAGAACTTAAATCGGAAGCCTAAAATTCCAATTACATTAAAGTAAAGGAGAAACAATACCTAGGTTTAATTTAAGATTGAGTGTACATCTTACATAACGTTCCACAAACTTGTCGTATGTTCAAGCTCTAGTTAAATATTAAGGATAATCAATGATAGATGTGTTACAACATCAGCGATCATCTGCATTGTATCTTGCCATAGCCTGGAGGCAAAGGGCATTATTTTAAACTTCAAGGAAACAGTAAAGTTGGGTCAGCTGAGATTTTAAAGTGTAAAAAATATCAAACATGCACTAATACACTTTCACTTCTAAAGGTGACCAGCCAACTTCCACCACTCCTAATCATAGACCTCTCTTCTGCTCCTGCTTTCACCAAGAAACCCCTAACAATCAGGATCTCCCTGAGAAATCCTTCAAGTGATCATGGAGCCAACAGTGATCACCAAATCTCCCAGTGATCACAAAAGCCCCACCTCAACTTTAATGGAACCCTGGCCCACCCTGTTCCTCCCCCAGCATGGTCACTGGACACCCTAATGGTTAACCTCTACGGTTATCATACAAGCCGTCTGCTATCACCATCATAACCAGGCCACCCCCTCCAAGCATCCAACCCTGCAATCATGTCACCCTCAGTGTTCCCTGGCCCTTGCTGCCCCCTTACCATCAATGCCCCTTCACCATCACTGTGCCCTCCAAAAAATAAGTGCCTAAACAGCGTAGAGAGGCAAAGTGAACCAAGTTTATAGATACACAATCTTTAAATGTAGCAGCAACAAATTAAATTTATATGGTGCCTTTAATATGATAAAATGATCAAAGGCATTTCAAAAGAACATTATAAAAGAAATATCACACTGAGTCACATTAGGAAATATTAAGTCAGATGACCAAATGCTTGATTAAAGATTTAAATTTAAGGAGTGTCTTAAAGGAGGAAAGTTAGGAAGAGAGCTGGAGACATGTATTGCAGAACGTTGGTCCTGGACAAATCAAGATATGACCTTCAATGGTGAAGCAATTCAAATCAGGGATACATAAGAGGCCAGACCTGGAGCAGTTCCGATATCTTGGAGGATTCTGGGGCTGAAGGGAATGCCTCTTAATTCTGGACTCACCCACAAGAGGCAACATAATTTCCATATCCACTTTATTAAGACTGCTCATAAGTCCATAAGAAATAGGAACTGGGTTGGCTGTTTAGCTCTTGGATACTGCTCTACTGTTGATTAGGATCATGGCTGATCGAACATTCCTTACACCCACTAGCCCCGTAATCCTTGATTCCCCTACTAATCAAGAATCTCTACATCTCATCCTTAAATTTATACAAGGACTCTACCCTTACAGCTGTCTGCAGCAAGGACTTCCAAAGACTCTCAACCTTCAGAGAAAAGAAAGTCCTCCTCATCTCAGTTTTAATTCTAAGACTTTACTCTGAGATTTTGCCCTCTTTCCTAGACTCTCCCATAAAGGAAAACATCTCTCAGCATTTACCCTGTCAAGCTCCTCAAGGATCCTATATGTATCAATAAGATCACCTCTCATTCCCCTACACTCCAGTGAATAGAATCCCAACCTCTTTAGCCTTTGTTCATAAGACATCCCTCCATACCAGGGAGCATCCTAGTGAACCTTCTCTAAACTGCCTCCAATTAAACAATATTTTTCCATAAATAAGGGACCAAAACTACTTGAAGTAC